GGGTAAAAAATGGGAGTTCATAACCCACTTGAATCTAATGTATGAAATATGATATGTCAAGAGCTTTGTAATGTTTTGAACAACCAATAAAAAATGGCAATCACGTATTTGGAAAACTGCTCAGTATCTTTAATAATCAGGAAAATGCGTATCAAAAACACAATGGTATATCATCTCACTCTAATAAGAATGGTCAATATCAGAAAAGTAAAAACACCAAGTCTTGGTCATGATATGAAGAAAAGAATCTTTATACACTACAGGTGTGAATGTCAATTAGTACAGCCATTATGAAAAACAGTTTGAAGTTTCCTCAAAAGTTAAAAATAAAACTATCATATGATCCAGCAATCCCACTTCTGGAATATTCAAAGGAAATGAATATTCTAAATGAATATTCCCACTTCTGGAATATTCAAAGGAAATGAAACAGTATGTTGAAGGGACATCTCTATGTTCATTGTAACACTAATCACAGTAGCCACAAACTAGGAGAAAAAAAGAAGGATCTATCAACTGATGAACAGATAAAGAAAATGTAGCACATATACACAATGGAAAATTATCCAGCCATAAAATGAATAAAATCCTGTCAGTTGTGACAACAAGGATGGAACTAGAAATCACTATGTGAATTGAAATAAGCCAGGCACTGAGAGAAAAGTATAAAAGGTCTCACTCATATGTGGAATCTAAAATGTTAATCTTCTTTTTTTTTGGGGGGGGGCAGGGAACTATGGATTGTACCCAGGGATGTTTTACCACTGAGCTGCAACCCCAGTCCATTTATTTATTTATTCATTCATTCATTCATTCATTCATAATTTTGAGATAGGGTGTAGCTAAATCACTGAGAGTGGCCTTGAGCTTGATCTCCTAATAGTTAAAGATAGAAATGTGGCTACTAGAACTTGGGGAAGGTAAACAGGCATGATGAAAGAGGTAATGTTAATCAATGTGTACCAACTTATAATTAGATAGGTGCGAGAAGTTCTGATGTAGTATTATTGCATAGTAGTATGATTATAGTAAACAATAAGGTCTTATACGTTTCAAAATAACCAGGAGAAGGGACTGAGAGTATAACTCAGTGGTGGAGTTCTTACCTAACAAGCAGAAGGCCCTGGGTTCAGTCCCCAGCACTGATAAAACCAAAAACAAAACAGCAAAACAAAATAAGTAGAAGAGAGGATTTTTTTAAATTTTCTCATCACAATTAAATGATAAATGTTTAAGGACATAGATACATTTAACCTGATTTACACATTACATATACATGATGTATATGAGTATCAAAACATCATATCTTGCCCCATTGATTTGTACAATTTTTATGTTTTTATATATCAGTTTAAAAGAAATTTAATAATAAAAGCAAATTTTAAACATTATTATTCTTGAAATGCCTTTTCCTTCTCCATTGTTGCTCTATTTGAAAAATTGGGTGGTAGCATTTCCCAAGGAATAAATTGCTTTGGTATGTAATGATAACAGTGATGTCTAGAGATGTGAGGAAAAGGGAAGAAATAATTTAGCAGAAAGATACAGAGATGAGATAGAAGAATGAATTCATATGTAAGGAGGCTGATGACCTGGAATTTACCTCTAACTGGTATATCTTGGGGAGGTCAAATTCCCTTCCTCACCTATAAAATTGAAATAAAACCATCTTACTCTCTTTTTGCCTGATCCTTAGCACCAGCACTAAATTTTACAGAAGTGCCAATGATCAAGGCTGGTTCATTACAGAAAAGAGTAGTAATTAATAAAATGGACTCTGGAGCCACACTGCCTTGAATATAAATCAAGTTTTGTTTGCCATGTAACTTTACATCTAAGCTCCGATTATTTTCTCTATTAAATGCATACAATGGTATTCTCCATACAGAATTGCATTGAGATTGAAATAAGATGATGCATAAACCAATCTTAGCTCAGTGAATGCCACATAATAGTGCTTAATAAATATGAAGGAGGGAAATGATCACATGAAGGATCACACTAGCCAGGCGTGATGGCACACACTTATAATCCCAGGGGCATAGGAAGCTGAGGCAAGAGGATTGAGAATTCAAGATCAGTGTCAGCAAATTAGCAAGGTACTCAACAACTGAATGAGATGCTGATTCAAAATAAAAAATAAAAAGGGCTAGGGATGTGGCTCAGTGGTTTAGCATCCCTGGGTTCAATCCCAGTGCCCCCCTCTCCAAAAAGGATCACCCTAAATTATAAGTCTATGTATAATAAATATAATGACCTTTTTTAATATGCCACAAGATTGTCTTCATTAAGAAAAAAATAAAAGGAATATGTCAAAGTGAAGTACATGCTCTTGTGGCTTATTGGTAAATTCCATTATGTATGAATATGTAGAGGCTTCCAAATGTAAAATCACCCAATAGCTGTGGGAGTTAGGGTTTAGGTTTCCCTGCAAACTGAGAGTCAGTGGAATCCTAGAGAAACAACCTACTATAGCTCTTTATGTGTTGTTAGGGCCCAACAATTCACGTAGCATCTGCACACAAATTCTTCTTGGTCACCTCCAGCTGTCATACAAAAAAACAGTCAACCTCTGTGGCTCAGAACCAGCATGGACTGCTCAGTCCTGCTACAGGACCACAGGGCAGAATATCATATCTGGACTCATATGGTTGCTCTCTCCTTGTCTACTGGATCCACTCTCTGTCCTTGTCTGTCCTACTCTATGCATAGAAAAGCTGAAGATTATTGACTGTATCTACCATCTTTGCTTCTGATTTCTCTTTGAGTTCAAACTGGGGAGGCAATTAGCAGAAAACCAGAGAGTAGGAGTTAAGAAAGATTAAGGTCTTTATCCTGTTCCCTCCCTCCCTCTTCCACCTTCACATGTTCCTCTAAGGCTACAAATCTTGATAGGCCTTCTCTATTCTTTCTAGGTTCCAGTCACATTGATCCTTCCCCTTACCAGTATAGGCTAGTGGGGTGAATTTAACAGCCTCCCAGAGTTGGTTCCCTCAACTCTGCCCATATCACTGTAAATAAATATTTCATTCAACTCTCTTCAATTCAACTTTCACTGAGTGTAGTTTATTTCCAGTTACTAGATCTACTAGTCCACGAATGCTGCATTGGACCCATTTCTCTCCTCTGTATTCACTACAGTGGCTTTTACATTGTAGATGATCATAACACCTAATCTTTTCAAGTACTACTTGTAATGATGGGCCTTTCAATTACTAATAGTAAATAATATTTATATGTCCCAAAATAATTCTTTCATGTATTATTTAAAGCTTCACTTTTCTTCCCATTTGGTCTTATGAGTTGTGTTAAAGGGAGATTTTGTTTATTTTTAGTTGTTGGGGGAAGTGGGACTGCTTTTGACACCTACTGATGGAAATGCATGAAAATCAGTGGTATATAGGAGACAAATGTCTCAGTTACTTGGTTGTCAATCCATTGATTATGCTCAGTAAAATATTTAATACCAAAAACTTTTCATATCCCCAAAGCCTGCCACAGACTGAGGTAAAAAATGAATTTGACACCATGCTGAATTACCTTGTACCAGACAACATCGGGCTCCTGATCAGACTTCTTAAAGTCATCCATGTCTGGACAGGAGATCTCCTTTCTTTTAGTGACTTCAGATTTTTCTAAATAGCGGATTCTGCTATTGTAGCACAGGCCTGATTCATTCTCTGCTACAGTCAAGGACATTGACACCTTCATACAATATGTTGAGTTTCTGTAGGAACAGAAAAATGACAAAATAGTTTTATTGGGTGTTTACATATTTGTTTGTACTCTGTATTTCAAGAGTATTGACTTTTCCATTTAAGGCTTGCCCCAAAATCAGAAATGACATTAAAACAACACACAGCAATTTTCTACTTCAACCGACATAGTGATATGAAATAAGATGCTAATGTGGAAATTGCCAGCCATGAAGTAGCTATAGAGCTATACAGGGGAGTTATAGCCATCTACAGAACTGAAACAAAGTCAGACTTTTTTTTCCAATAGTAAATGGTGCTACACTGAAAATCTAAGTGAAAACTAGTGAGAAAATTTCTATAAATACAGCTAGAGTCATCTCTGCTCTTCCTCCATGGCTAGTCCTTTAGAAGTTATTCAAGAGCTTGTTGAATTTTACCATTGGTTTCTCAGCCAACATTTCCTTTTATAAGATATATATAGAAAACCAGATCAACACACAGAGGTCACATGTTAACTTATATACCTTTTTAAGGTGCTTACTGAGATGTACCAAGGATCAAATTTGGGGCTCCCATAAAGAACAAGTAGAGTAAATTTGAATTAATCCAACAGTACGTACCATTATAAAAGAATATCAACATTGAATTTTAACATTAGGCCACTTTAGAAATTGACTAACTCATTATGGGAGAGTATTTATGAAATTAAAATTCTACTTTCTTATAACTTGGTTAGTACCTTCTCAGTAATATGAGCTCAGTAAACATTTTTGACCAATTTATTTAACTACAAATAAATAAACAAAATTGTATGCCTTCATTTCTGTATGTATACTCCATGAATTTTTCCTACCCAGAGGATGTCAACCACACAGAAGAAAATTGAAATATGTGGGGAAGGGATCAGAAGCAACCTGATAAGACTGACTGAGAAGGCCAACTGGAAATTTTGGTAGGAGTGTTGAATTTTACTTTATGGGGGACTTTTCAGGAGTGTATCTGTTCTAAACATAAAGGATTATTGCTGCCAAAAATACAAAGTGCCAAGGGCAGCTATACAAAAACCAAGTGTTTCTACCAACAAGTAATAATAATCCTATAACAGATGAAATTAGCATGCCAACTGCTAACTTGAAGATGGCCCCAAATGACTGGTGCTATGCATACTATTTATTACTCACTCATTGAAATTCACATATCTCAAAACACAGGAGGACAGACAGCTGTGTGCATTGGGCTTATAAACTAACATAATCAAAATGACTCCTACTTGTTTCTAGTGAAGTTAATTAGCAAGCACCCCTGACTATGTCATGTGAGAAGAATGCTGTGAAAGCACTCTAATTCAGATGTTCAGATGCAACCCAATACACTATGTAGATTCTAGGATACTGCTTTTCTCTCTTCCTAATGTAGAACCCAAACAACATGAGTTATGCCCACTAGGATCAAATGAAAGAAATTCACATACTCTTGTCAAGTTTTGGATAACCTCTTTAAATGCTATGAAGTTAAAGGCACTATTATGATAAAATGTCAGGAGAGAATAAAGCGGAGTTTAATCAATTTAATTCTTTTTGACTATGATTTCAATAGTTTTGTCGTAAATAATTCCAAACTCTCTTGTTTCCAACAAAGCAATACATGATCTGGTTCAATACTGAACTCTTTTTTTCATTCATTAAGGTATAGTCACAATGGCATTTTTCTCTGTTTCTTGAACACGTTATACAAACCATAGGCCTTCTCTCTGCTCTTCTCTCTGCTCTTCTAACATTTGTTTATTTCATAAATGTAAGTTAATTAGGACAAATAATTTGTTGGTCTTGTTTATGACTCTATCTCTGTAATATAAATGATTAACTAATAGATGCTCAGTAGATGTTTGTTACTTAAATGAGTAAGCACCAAGTGGTATTTGTTTAACAGATATGTTATCTCTGCTCTACTTTGGCATCAACGCCATATGGTTCAAACATCCTAATTCAGATTCAGTTATATGACTATCTGAATATCAAATTCCTAGATCTATGACCTAGATAGTTTTCAGGTATTCTTGAATTACCATTAATGGAAAAAATAGTCAAGTTTTGTACATCTGCATATTGGCAAAGAATGGAGTATATTGGCTATATCTGGGAGACAAAGAGGACTAGAGCAGTGGCAGTGGGTAGAGGGAAGGTAAATGTTCACATGGTTTAAAAGGTATTAACATAGAAAGAAAAGAAATGTTTCTGCTGGATATCCAAAGTATTCTGAACACTTTTTGATGTTACAAACTTTAAACGTATCTGCTCCATGGCATTTATCCATGCAGATGAAGAGATTTATTTGTTAAATATATTCCCCTTCTTATACTATACCCCCATGGAAAGAGAACTGTTCACCCGAGGTCTCAATAATAGAAAGAATAGGTAGAATGTCCAAAGTTCAGAAAGAAGCTCACTATAAAATGCATTTATCCCTTTGGAAGAAAATAAGGTTGACTAAAGTAAAGGATAATTCTAATATTGTGCTTTCTTTTAAAAATGTTTTTTAGTTGTAGTTATTTTATTCATTTATTTACTTTTTATGTGGTGCTAAGGATTGAACCCAGTACTTCACACATGCTAGGTAAGAGCTCTACCACTGAGCTATAACCCCAGCCCATATAGTGGTTTCTTAACTCAGAATTAAGCTTTCAACTAAGACACGCTGGGTTTAACTAGCTCTGTGACCTCAGACAAGTTATTTAACTCTGTTTCCTCACCTGGAAACCGAAAAGTTCTTTACCATGACTCCATTAGAAATGGAATTTCTAACTATGAGCAAAAATAGATGCATATTCTTAACTGGAATTATTATAATGTATAACCACATATTAAAATAATATGTGGAAAATAAATAATATAGTACTGGCATATAGTGGGTATTCAATAAACTGAAGCCATAATTGGAATTGTTGGTATTGCTAGTATTGCTATGTATATTGCTAATAAATAATAATTTTGATTTATATGTTATAATAACCATGAACAATCACCAATATATTTTAAAAAATAACAACACTGGCAGTACTATGTTAAGAAACGCCACTGGGTTAGGAATGCTACTTGACAGGAAAAGTACCAAATAGGTCAGTTGGCAAGGTAGCTAATACCAGAGGATTCTGCTGGTCTGAATGCATAAAAATATTACACTGACTTAGGCAACAAAATAAGTGAATCAAGAAAGAGTAGCTAAAGCAGGAAGAAACCCTCAGGTACAACAAGTACTATAAGGCCAGGACATTGGAAGTCAAAAGGTTAATAAAGTTCCATTTATCTTCTGGAAACATCTTAGACCAGTGTCTTCTACTATAAAGCCCAGATCCCCAGACATGTTTTCAGGCACAAGACAGGAGACTCTCTTATGTGTCATTGTCCAACTCTTTCAAAGTACAAATGATGCAGGTCATGCCAGCCTCATTTGCATTAACTTGAGATGGTGATAAGGGGTTAAAGGGGGAAATGTTTCTGTGTTCTCTAACCCTTACCCTTCCATGAGCAACCTTAGGCTGGGGCTCTCCATATATTTACTCCCACTCTACTGGCATATGAATAGTAGACAACAAATTGCTTGTTAACCCTTGAACAAGCTCCAATATGAAGTTGTTGATGATGACCAAGATCCTAGAATTCAAAGACAAAGCCTAGTTTGAGTCCTGCTGTCACTATTGCTGACCTAGTAAAAGTATGATCAAGACTGCCTGACAGTGTGAGACTCAGGTTGATTTTTATTAGTCATGTAATCCAGCTCTGGCACAGTTCCCATTAAAAATCTTGCATTATTTAGATTTTATTTTGAAAAATGCCCCTGGCCAGTTCTATTTAAAATGCTTCTCGCAACTAAGACCCCAAAAAATGTTACTTTTCTTTCATTAGGTACAATTAGAGCTATGTAAGTTTGAGGAGGTAGACTGACAAGTGTGCAAGAATGGGGATTGTATTTTTTTCCCCTACATAACCTGAGAGGACAAGGAACACATTAAGACTTAAAGTAAGCAAAGGGTAATCCCAGTGATATTGTGGAAACAACTTGCAATTACTTTCATTTATAATATTTTCAAGTAGAGTTCTCCCTCAATATCCAGGGAAGATTTGCTTTAGGACCACCCATTCCCATGGACACATAAATCTCCAGATGCTCAAGTCTTTTATAGAAAATGGCATTGAATTTGTGAATAAACTATGTATATCCTCCCATATACTTTAAATCATCAATATATTCATCATACTACCTAATAAAATATAAATACTATGTAAATTATTATGTTACATTGTGTAGTGAATAATGACAACAAAAATCTGTACGTGATAGATACAAATATAATTATTTTATTTCCTATTATTTTTGATCCATGGTTGGTTGAATTCATAGATGTTAAATCCACAAATATAAAAAGTCAACTGTGGGCTTGGATTGTGGCTCAATGGTAGAGTGCTTGCCTAGCATGAGTGAGGAACGAGATTCAACTCTCAGCACTGCATATAAATAAACAAAATAAAGTACATTGACAACAAAAAATATTTTTTAAAAATTCAACTATCTTCATATCTATTATCATATTTAATTCTGCCAACATCCATGAAAACAAACAGGGTAAATCACCTAACAATTGTAAAACATAAACTGAACAAGTAACTTAATCAAGCTAATAACCTGGTCAGTGGTTTAGAGTCAATGTTTCCAACTAGTAGTCACAGGGGTCCTTGGAACTTGATGCTAACATTAGTTAAGAGCGGTGACACATGCCTGTAATCCCACCAGCTCTGGAGGCTGAGGCAGGAGTGTAAAGGAGCTAAGTAACTGAGTGAGACCCTGTCTCTAAATAAAATATAAAATAGGGCTAGGGATGTGGCTCAGTGGCCGACTGCCCTGAGTTCAGTCCCCAGAATCCTCCACCCACAAAAAAAGAGACAAACTAACTTGAGGTTATCCATGCCAATGTGGGCAATATGAAGAAAGAAACGCAGATAACTAAAGATAACATCTGAAGAATAGTTATTAA